ACACACCTGTAGAATTCAAGAATTGCTTGAATTCCTCCCGGCACCCATTTTCTGCTTCTCTGCCTCTGTCATTCTTTTTTATTTTTATTTTTATATTTTGAGACAGAGTCTTGCTCTGTCACCCAGGCTGGAGTGCGGTGGTGGGATCTAGGCTTACTGCAACCTCCACCTCCTGGGTTCAAGAGATTTCTCCTGCCTCAGCCTCCTGAATAGCTGGGATTACAGGCATACACCACCATGTCTGGCTAAGTTTTGTATTTTTAGTAGAGACGAGGTTTTAACCATGTTGGCCAGACTCGTCTTGAACTCCTGTCCTCAAGTGATCCACCTACCTCAGCCTACAAAATGTTGAAATTACAGGTGTGAGCCACTGTGCCCAGGCCATGTAGTTTTTATAGTAATAGTATATTCGTTCTCCTTGTTGCATAGTATTTTATTATGTGAATATACCACAGTCCCTTTATCTGTTATTCTGTTGATGAATATTTGGATTGTTTTTCCAGTTTGAGGCTTTTATGAGTAGTATTGCTATGAACATTCTTGTATGTGTTTTTTGGTAAGGATATGTACACATTTCTATTGAGATATGTAGTTAGAAATGGAATTGCTGAGTCTTATAGGATGTATACACATTCAGCTTTGGTAGATACTGCCAAATATTTTTCCAAAGTGATTGTACCATTTTATACTACTATGAGCAGTGTGTTAATTTTCATAGGTTTACATCCTTGCTAATACTGGGGTTGTGTTTATTTATTTGTGGTGAGTGACCTTTTCAGCATTTTTAGAATGTGACGTTCAGTTATTTTTCCTGTGTGGTAAATCTTCTTTCTCTTCTTCACAAGATTATGAGCTCCTTGAGAAAAGGGATTCTGTTTGTATCCCAAAACCTGGCACAAGGGCTGGCATATTGTGGGCATTAAGTAGAGGTTGGCTGAATGAAGCATATGTGTGTGGACAAGAACAGAAAGGAAATAATCAAAGAAAAATTGTACAGGTTAGGGTGCAGTGCACTGTACTTGATTTTGGTAATATACCTAATTATTATTATTTTTTTGAGACGGAGTTTCGCTCTTGTTACCCAGGCTGGAGTGCAATGGCGTGATCTTGGCTCACCGCAACCTCCCCTCCTGGGTTCAGGCAATTCTCCTGCCTCAGCCTCCTGAGTAGCTGGGATTATAGGCATGCACCACCATGCCCAGCTAATTTTTTGTATTTTGGGTAGAGACGGGGTTTCACCATGTTGACCAGGATGGTCTCGATCTCTTGACCTTGTGATCCACCCGCCTCAGCCTCCCAAAGTGCTGGGATTACAGGCGTGAGCCACCGCACTCGGCGAATATACCTAATTCTTAATCCTTGTGTATCATTTTGGTAGTGGTGATAGAAATAAGCAATAATTAAATATGTAATTATAAATTATAATGAATACTATGAAGTTAAGTGAACAGGCTACCTCTATGGTAGAGAATAATGGAACGATAACCTATTTTTAGAGAAAGCCTCTTTTTTAGAAAAAGTGACATTTGAGTATTTCAGAGTATTTTTTCTCTTTTACAAAAATTTATTTATTTTATTGAGGCAGGATCTTGCTCTTGCCCACGTGGGAGTGCAGTGGTGCAAACTTGGCTCACTGCAACCTCCGCCTTTTGGGCTCAAGCCATCCTGTGATTTCAGTCTCCTGAGTAGCTGGGATTTCTCAGGCACAGACCACCATGCCTGGCTAATTTTTGTTTAGTTTTTTGGGTAGAGATGGGGGTTTGCCATGTTGGCCAGGGTGGTCTGTAACTCCTGGGCTCAGGCAACCTACCTGCCTCAGCCTCCCAAAGTATTGGGATTGCAGGCATAAGCCACCATGCCCAGGCTATTGATATTTTTTAATATAAGCAAAGGAAAAATTGAGGTCTTTAAGGTGCAAGTGAATTTTCTGCGTGAAGTACAAGGGCAAGAATGGGTAGTATAAAAAAGTAAATGTGTGTGTTCATAAGTGTGTAGGTGTGGAGAAACTAGATGTTGTCCTTGATACTAGATACATAGGTACTTCAGTAGTTCAATATAGTGTGAAATGTTACAAACCACAGTGCTTCAAAAAAAAAAGAAGGAAAAAAATCTATAGTATGAAATGTTAGCTCACGAATAGTGGTAGGATAGAAATAGAGTAGATGGTAGGACAGCCACAGAAGGTTACTCGGAGCTGTGGGGAAAAAGAAGGATCTAATAGAACCTAATAGAAGAAGACCCAGCCCCTGGCCGGACGTGGTGGCTCACACCTGTAATCCCAGCACTTTGGGAGGCCAAGGCGGGTGGATCACAAGGTCAAGGGATCGAGACCATCCTGGTCAACATGGTGAAATCCTGTCTCTACTAAAAATACAAAAAATTAGCTGGGCATGGTGGTGTGTGCCTATAATCCCAGCTACTCAGGAGGCTGAGGCAGGAGAATTGCCTGAACCCAGGAGGCGGAGGTTGCGGTGAGCTGAGATTGCGCCGTTGCACTCCAGTCTGGGTAACGAGCGAAACTCTGTCTCAAAAAAAAAAAAAGAAGAGGACCTAGCCCAAAGCACAGCTTATGGAAACTGCTGTTGGTTGTGTTCTTTGAATCAGTTTAAGTGCTTTGTGTTTTAGATGGACCATTACATTGATGTATGTGATGTAATGGGGAGGTGTTCTGTGTTTAGTCTGTGTTTTACAAAGCCTTCTTGATACTTACGAATTAAAGCATAAGTGTCCTTGGGACTGACCAGAAGAATCCTGACTGATCCTTTAATATCCTTGTTTGGAAAGAAAAGTAAATAGTAACATTCCACAATTCAAAATTCTATTTTTTCTTCATTAGGGTTAAAGAAAAAAAATCATTTTCATTCCATGTGTTCCATTTCTTCTTGGAATAAACCAGAATTGAAGGGTCAGTCCTCTTCTTGCTCCTTTTCACCCCTTTTTATTGTAAAGGTAATATAGCATTACTGAGAGTTTGGAAACTAGATTCTTCTTTTTTCTCTTTTTTTGCCAGTTATTTTAGCTATAGATTCTTAAACTTACCCATAATTCTAACTTAAGAAAATAACTCTTTGATTTCTTATGTGTTCTTTCTAGACTTGCCCATATGTAGTCATGTTTTTACCTATAATTTTAGACATATTATAAGCATTTTTTCACGTTGTTAAAAATAATAATTTCTAGTGTAAACTGTGCACTCTGAGTGATGATGCTGTGTCAGTGTAGGTTCATTCTTTGTATCAAATGCGCCATCCTGGTGTGGGATGTTGATGGTGGGGGAGGCTGTGCTTGTGGGGGAAGGGGTAGTGGGAACTCTGCCCTTTCCAGGCAGTTTTGCTATGAGCCTAAAACTGCTGTAAAAAAAAGTAGTCTAGTGAAAAAAAATCTCAGCTAGGCACTGTGGCTCATGCCTCTAATTCCAGCATTTTGAGAGTTCAAGGCAGGAGGGTCACTTGAGCCCAGGAGTTTGAGGTCGGCCTGGGCAACATAGGGAGACACTGTCTCTACAAAAATACAAAAATCAGCAGGGTGTGATGACGGGTGCCTGTAGTCCCAGCAACTCAGGAGGCTGAGGCATGAGAATTGCTTGAGCCTGGGAGGTGGAGGTTGCAGTGAGCTGAGATTGTGCCACTGCACTCCAGCCTGGACAGTAGAGCCAGACCTTGTCTCAAAAACAAAAACAAAAACAAAAAACAAAACACCGACAACAAAAAAACAAACCTCAGTGGATACCTGATTTTTCCATTGAGTGACTATAATTAGCCATTTCCTTAATGGACTTTCCTCCAGTTTTCATTCTGTATAGTATCTGGCACATAATTATAAATAATGGCTATTTTATTGCCAAATTGCTTTGAAATGCAATGTGAACATAAAAAATGTGGTGACTGTGATCCAAACATAGTGTTGATGATGAAAGTGATGATGGAAACTTCTGCTATTTATTGAGTACCTATTTTGTGAAAGGCACTTTATATATCTTCTTTCATCCTTACTGCAGCTGAGGTTCAGTAAGTTTTCTATGGCCACTGAGCTTGTTGTAGGTGGCAGAAGGAGGTTTTAAACATAAAAGTGACTGGAGTATTTTTTTCCCCCATATACTGCACTGCCACCTATATTAAATAGATGCTTACTGCAATTCTGTTTCCTAGAATTGACTTAGGTGTAGTTCCATGTTTCCAGGGCTGAATTTTTTTTTCTTTGAGACTTGCTATGTTTCCCGGGCTGGAGCGCAGTGGCACGATAATCAGTTCACTGCAACCTCTACCTCCTCAAGCAATTCTCCTGCCTCAGTCTCCCGAGTAACTGGGATTACAGGTGTGTACCACCTGGCTAATATTTTGTATTTTTAGTAGAGATGGGGTTTCACCATGTTGGTGAGGCTGGTTTCAAACTCTTGACCTCAAGTGATCTACCCACCTTGGCCTCCCAAAATGCTGGGATTACAGGTGTGAGCCACCGTGCCTGGCCTTTGAATTTTTTTTTTTCAGACAGGGTCTTGCTCTTGCTCTGTCACCCAGGCTGAAGTGCAGTGGCGTGATCATAGGTCCCTGCGGCCTCGGTTTCCTGGGTCAAGTGATCCTCCCACCTCAGCCTCCTGAGTAACTAGGACTATAGGCATGCACCGCCACACCCAGCCAATTAAAAAAAAATTTTTTTAAGAAGTGGAGTCTTGCTGTATTGCCCAGGGTGGTCTTAAACCCCTGGACTCAAGCAGTCGTCTCACCTTGACCTCCTAAAGTATTGTAAGTACGGGTGTGAGGTATTGTGCCTAGCCCAAATTATTTTATTTCTTCAAATATTCAGTAGTTATTTATTGGGCATCTACCATGTACTAGATACCCTTCTAGGTGCTGGTCTTGGATCTTCTTAGTGAGCTGATCACTGGGAACTGGGCTAAGTAAGGTTGGAAAGATCCAATAGTCTTTACTCTGAAAACTGCTTTGCTCAGATTAACCCTCCAAGTGCTCAGTGTCGCTTACATCTGTGTTTTTATCCTTTAGTGGCCTCAGATAAGCCAGTCCCAAGCATGTGGTGTATCTGAACAGATTGCTGGAATAGACATACAGCTGAGTAGGAAGTATCACGACACACATAAGGTGAGAATTATCAGTGCATTTTATGTTTATAGAGTGCTTTCACACAGGATCTCAACAAAATTGTTAGCTAGGTGAGCTTTAGCGCGAGGCTCAGGGAGTAAAGTGACTTGCCCCAGGTCACAAGGATGATAAGTAAGTGGCAGACCAAAGGAATTTTGTTTTTTAGGAACAAGGTCTTGCTCTGTTACCCAGGCTAGAGTACAGTGGCACCATCATAACTCATTGTAGCCTCGAACTCCCAGGCTCAAGCTATCTTCCTGCCTCAGCCTCCTGAGTAGCTGAGACTTACAGGCATGCACCACTGTGTCCTGCTAATTTTTAATTTTTTTTTTTTTGAGATGGAGTCTTGCTCTGTCTCCCAGGCTGGAGTGCAGTGGCATGATCTTGGCTCACTGCAACCTCCACTTCCTGGATTCAAGTGATTCTTCTGTCTCAGCCTCCTGAGTAGCTGGGACTATAGGTGTGCGCCACCACGCTCAGCTAATTTTTGTATTTTTTGTAGAGGGGGGGTTTCATCATATTGGCCTGGCTATTCTCAAACTTCTGACCTCATGATCCGCCCGCCTCGTCCTTCCAAAGGGCTGGGATTATAGGTGTGAGCCACTGCGCCCGGCCAATTTTTAAATTTTTGTAGAGACCAGGGTCTTGTTTTGTTGCCCAGGCTGGTCTCAAACTCATGGCTTCAAGTGATCCTCCTGTCTCAGCCTCCATAAGTACTGGAATTGTTTTTAAAATTTTTTTTTAGCAGATGAGGTCTTGGCCCTTTTGCCCTGGTGGAGTGCAGTGGCGCAATCATGGCTTACTGCAGCCTTGAACTTCTGGGCTGAAGTGATCCTCCTACCTTGGCCTCCCAAAGTACTGGGATCACTGAGATCATCATAGGTGTGAGCCATGACGCCAGCCTGAATATTTGGACCTAAGCCTTCTGAGCCTATGTCCTGTGTTTCTTCCTTGCTTGGAAAACACTTAGGAGGAAAAAGTATGAATTTTTTATGTGTTAAAAATAAAGTGATATTTAAGTTTTGGAGAATTTTTTATTGGTTAGATAGCTTGCCTTTTTTGGAGAGGTTAACATTAGAGCAGACTTTCCTTGGAGGTTATTTGCAAATAAAGACTCTTATTTTCTATAGTCATTAATAAAATTTGTAATACTTTTACTAAAAAATGCAAGAGTTTAAAAATATTTATTCAGTGCTCGATTGCGGTTTTGAATGACTTTTGACTGCTTGTAGGCAATATTTTTTTTTTTCCCTTTTCCGGTAACATCAATAAGCATAGAATATTTCACTTCTCAGAATTGTTCTTTGAGAGATGGGGGTCAAGATTTCCTTTTATTTATTTATTTTTACTTGTACATGTCAAGGAAAGGATTTCCTTTTAAAAATCTTCTTGCAGATAGAACTTTTATTCTAATACCTCAGAACTGTCATCTGCTAGATATAGGTTAATAGACATATAGTCAATGAGATAGGCATGTTTTGCTCTGAAATTTGGAAGATGTCTATTAGGTGCAGTTCCACATGTCTTTTTACTGGATGATAAGATGCCTAAAAAAAACAAAAAATTAAAAATTGTAGGTGAAAACAAAAGTCTAAGCAATAAAAATACCCCTGGCCCAAGCATGGTGGCTCACACATGTAATCCCAGCATTTGAGGAGGCCGAAGCAGGAAGATGGCTTGAGGCCAGGAGTTTGAGACCAGCCTGAGCAACAGGCTGTGGATCCCCTCTCTCCACAGGACAACAGGCTGTGGCTCCCCACTCCACAGAAAATTTTAAAAATTGACTTGGCCTGATGGCATGCACCTGTAATCCTAGCTACTTGGGAGGCTGAGGCAGAAAGATCACGTGAGCCCAGAAGTTTGGGGCTATGAGTGTGCCATTGCACTCCAGCCTGGGTGGAAGGAGGAGACCGTGACTGTATTTTTAAAAAAGTGCTCTCAGACCTGATGAGGAACAAACCATTCTATTAAAATTGTTTTACAACTAATTTTAGTTTCTTTCTTTTTGGTTAATCAGCTTTCGACTACCAAAGATTCCCCACAGCCTGTTGAGGAGAAGGTTGGTGCTCTCACAAAGATAATAGAAGCCATGGGATTCACTGGACCTTTGAAATACAGTAAATGGGTAAAGTCCTTTAAGTTCTTCTCATTTTTCCTTTTGAGTGTTGTGCTTTCTGCTCCTCATAAATTTTTTAAAGCTTCTACTTTGCTTTCATGGAATTCATAGATTGTTTTGGATGTGAGGATGATCTGGCTGTGACATCTGTTATCCCATTGATTGCCAGGGTTGATCTGGCTGATCTGGCTGGGTAGGCAGGTGTCCCCTTCCTCCTGACCACTCCATGTGCAGCCCTTGTGAAGCTGTGTTCTTGGTTGAAAAGGATGATCTTCTCCAATAGAGGAGGACCATTCTTTGATCAAGGGTATATGAGTAGCTGCACTCTCCTGCCAGAACCTCCAAGTAAGCTCTCAAGGTCCATATGTTATTTTGAGAACTTCAGAGTGTCCCTGCCCACATGCCACAGCCCCTTGCTGCTTCCAGTCTGATCTATACAACATGTGGGGCTGAACTAGTCCCTCCACCTGGTTCTTTAGAAGCATCTCATGGTAGCAGGCACAGCAACAAGACAGGGCTTTTCCAGGCCCTTGCTGCATAGTATGCCATGTAGATGACTTCTGATGAGTCAGGTGGGCCAAATGTTCTGATAGGCAACACCTTAAGGAAGCATTACTCTCTGATTAACCCATATTTTATAAGGACTTTTCACTAAAATTTTACTAATCAGCCTGTTTTTATTAACTAAGTAAGCCCATGATTTATTGTAATTCTTATTATGGAGGGATATTTGTTAAGCTGTGTCACTCCCAGTCAACTCTTGGCTTAGCACATTATTTGTTATGATAGTAGTGGCTGTAAATGAATGAATATCCTCTCTGCCTCAGATGTATTCTTCCCCTGAGCTTTTATATGAATACCTCTAACCAATAAAAAAGAAAAAACAAATAACAACAAAAAAGAATACCTCTAACCAATTATGGAAATCAAACATCAACGATTCAGTTCTTCTCAGCCCGCTTACCTCCCAGAACAGGTTGAGCATCATAAATGGGAAAATTTGAAATCCAAAATTTAAAGTGTTTGGAGTTTTTAAACATGATGCCCAATGCTCATTGAAGCATTTTAGATTTTTGAATTTGGGATGCTCAGCAGGTAAGCATAATGCAAAGATTCCAAAATCCCCCAAAATCCAAAATTCAAAACACTTCTTCTGGTTCCACACATTTCAGATGAGGAGTAGTCAACCTTTACTACCATTTCTTCCTATTGCTATGGCAGAATTGCCTTTTAACGCCTTTCATGGTTGCTAGAATGTTGGGTAAGCCCAATCAGTCGTAAGTCAAAGCAAGCCCACTCAAAGCAATAGGGAAAATTTTTTCTAGAAAATATGAAAGCTTTACTCAAAACAACCAAGTAATGCCAATTACACCATTTTAACAAGTCAGATTCAAATTAGAATTTCAATTTCATTATGGACTTCTACTTGTGGTTTCTTCTTATGGTGTCAGGTTCTCTTTCGAACAATTCTCACTACAGCAAATATAAGCTTATCTCTATAATCACTATTTTACCTGAATTCTGAAGAGTCAGTAGTAATTCCACACACATTTTGTTTTTAAGGGGCTTTGAAAGAATATAGAAAGAACACAAATACTGATAATGATGTTCTTGAGACCCTAAGGTTATGAAGTGCCTTCTTAATTGTCAGTGAAATATTAGTTACGTTCTTTAAAATGGTATTTTTTTAGATCTTAATTTTTTGAGACTTGATAATTGTTGGTATATTTGGTAATGTTTTTAACCAAAATCTTTTCCCCTATTAAAAAAATGTTGTGCTTATGGCATTTGGATTTTCAAACTTAAAGGATGTGTTTTGTTTGAAAATTAGAAATTAAGAGGCAAGTCAGAGCAGAAAGAAAGAAAAGAGAAACATTTACAGTTTTATTCATTTCTTGGTGATGGGGTTCCATTTGCTTGCTACCATATGCTTTGTCTAGGCTGTTTATTTATGATTCTAGAGGGAAAATTGGCTACCATTTGGAGGATTACTAAATCATCAGGAAAATTCCTTCACTCTTTTAGCCTAAGTTAGCCTCTGATTTTTCTTTGTTCCCTTGTGACCTCAACTAAATCTCTAATGTTTGCATTTTAAAAAACCTTGTGATGTGGTAGTGTCTACTTTCTATAACTTCATTTTATTTTATATATATATATATATATATATATATATATATATATATATATTTTTTTTTTTTTTTTTTTTTTTTTGAGACAGAGCCTCACTCTGTCACCCAGGCTGGAGTGCAGTAGAGTGATCTCAACTCATTGTAACCTCTGCTTACGGGTTCAAGCGATTCTCCTGCCTCAGCCTCTTAAGTAGTTGGGATTACAGGCACATGCCACCATACCTGGCTGACTTTTGTATTTTTAGTAGAGATGGGGTTTCACCATGTTGGCCAGGCTGGTCTCAAATTCCTGACTTCAAGTGATCCACCTGCCTAGGCCTCCCAAAATGCTTGGATTATAGGCGTGAACCACTGCGCCTGGCCTATAACCTTTATTTTAAAATTTGTTACATCAAAATATCAAAAGTATGACATTCTAGTGTAATTGAAATGCAAAAATGTCTGTATAACTTTTCATTTTGAAAAACTGAGAACCGTTTTCAGCAATGTTGACTCAAATCAATACACTTGCATTGGATTGCACTGGCAAATTATTTGTTTTGCGTTTTCACATGTATTTGATTAGGGAGCAAAATACCTGCATGTCTGTCCACATTAGCAGTAACTATCTTTTCTTTCTTTTTCTTTAATGTTTTCATGTATTATTCCTATGTTTCTTCTACAATCATATTTAGGATCTTAAATATAGCTTTTCCTTACTTATTTAAGTATCCTGGAGTCATCATTATTAAAAATTATCTTTATAAGCAATATCAGGTGAGATAAGGACAACATTTACCCAACTCCTTAGAATAGGTTTCCATATTAGCATTAAGCCAAAAAATTATTCCTGTTCTGAAGGACACTGACAAACTGGGATATATTCAGAGGTAGACCGTGAGCCTTAGGAAAGCTTCAGAAACTGTTGAATAAAGAATTGTTGGAGGAAATAGGGATGCTTAGCCTGGAAAAGAGAAGACAGGCTGAGTCTTCTCAGGTATTTGAGGGGCAAATGTGAAAAAAAAGAAGGTATTTCAGTGGGCAAAATAATGTTCAATGAATATTACATGAAGCATATTTTAAGTTTAGCAAAACAAGAATCTAGCAGGAATTGTCCTCTGGTGGGATAGGTAGCCTTACAAGGTCACTGGTCTTGTTTGTACAGAGGCCCAGATGGTTGATTGTGAATCAAGAATGCTGTAGACGGATTTCTAGTAGACAATACAAGTTTCAAATAACTAAAAAGACCTTTCTAACTCTTTTTTTTTTTTTGAGTCAGAGTCTCGCTCTGTCACCAGGCTGGAGTGTAATGGTGCAATCTTGGCTCACTGCAACTTCCGTCTCCTGGGTTCAAGCAGTTCTCCTGTCTCAGCCTCCTGAGTAGCTGGGATTACAGGCAGCCGCCACCATGCCCAGCTAATTTTTGTATTTTTAGTAGAGATGGGGTTTCACTGTATTGGTCAGGCTGGTCTTTGGCCAGGCTGCCCTTGAACTCCTGACCTCGTGATCTGCCCGTCTCGGCTTCCTAAAGTGCTGGGATTACAGGCATGAGCCACCGCACCTGGCTTCTTCTAACTCTTACAAACCTGTTAACGCGAGCCTTTTACTAGATTTGTTTTTCATCCTAAGATGTTAAAAAATGCATCAGTTCGTGGAAGAGCAGATTTTCATTTCCTAAAGCTGTTCAAGGTGCTTCTCTTTTACTCAGGTAGACTGTTGAAGTCTTCTAAAGTTAAAATGAAATAAATATGAAGTCATCCAAGGACCAGAACAACTTGTATTGGACTGGCTAGAAATTCAGTCCCCCTACCTCATTAACTTATATCAGTGTATGATTCTTGAAGAGGTTCTTTCTTCAAGTCATTGTTTCTAGTTCCTGTGTGATGGCCTTAAGGGACTTGCTTTAGACATTTGTCCAGGAAAATGGCTTACCCAAGTATAAAGCCTTGGCCTTGCAGCAGGAAAAGTGAAGAACTATCGGATGCTCCTGATTGCCATAGCATGAGCACTGACAAAATTCTCTGGTCCATCTGGTGAAGTCTTCATTATTTGTAATGAATGCATTTTCACAAATGTGTTTTTGGGGAAGCTTCCTTCTCAAGGAAAGACTTGGGGCTTGGACTTTGAAGGCAAGTCTGCCTTTCCTCAGGCAGGGTGATTAATTATGAACCCAGAGGACTTCATTTATAGGAATCTGAAGGAGACTACAAGGTAAAAAAAGAAAAAAATCAAGAAATAAGTGATTAGAAATTTTAAAATTATATACTCATCTATAGCTGAACTGGGCCATAAGCTCTGTGAGAGCAGAGATTTTTGTCTATTTTGTCTACTGCTGTATTCTCAGCATCTAGATCAGTGCCAGGTACTGAGTTATATACTCAATGAATTATTGGATGAAGTGAGGAGCTAGGCCAGATGTACTGAACTCCCTGTCTTCAGGATAGGAGTAGGCCTATCAAGGCTTAATTATTAGGCTCATGATATTATTAGATTATAGTTAGTTTGGTAATGGCACGGACCAATGCTTTCCAAGATGTATGTGTTCTGTGGTCAAATACTTCCTAGAACTGCAAGAATTAACAAAATTAAACAGACTTCTTTTTCTTTTTCTTTTTGTCTGTTGATATGGTGAAACTGATTGATTTGCCAGTGTGGAATTATCTTTGCATTCCTGGGATAAATTTCACTTCTGATATCTTATTCTTTTAAAAATATTAATTTTAAAATATTTTGTTAAGGAATTTTGCATCTATATTCATGAAGGCTGTTGTTCTGTGGTTTTGTTTTCTCCTAATGACTTTGGTTTTGATATCAGGATAATGTTGGCCTCATCGAATGAGCTGGGAGATATCCTTTCCTCTTGTTTTCTGACAGAGTTTATGTAGATTTGGTAACATTTCTTTAGATGTTGGGTACAGTTCTCTAGTGATGTTATTTGGGTCTGCGGTTTGCATTGTGGGAAGGTTTTTAACCACAAATCCAATTTCTTTAATAGATATAAGACTATTCATGTTATTTATTTATTTATTTTAGTGAACTTTGATAGTTTGTATCATTCAAGGAATTTGTCCATTTCATCTAAGTAACCACATTCATTGGCCTAAAGTTGTTCATAGTATTTCCTTACTATCCTATTAATGTCTTTAGAATATATAGTGATATCTGCCCCCTGATTCCTGATACTGAAAATTTGTATCTTCTCCATTTTGGGCTTTTTTTTTTCTTGATAACTCTTATAGGTTCTCTGTTTTCTTGATCTTGCTTTGTCGCCCAGGCTGGAGTGCAGTGGTACCATCTCAGCTCACTGCAACCTCCGCCTCCCAGGTTCAAGTGATTCTCCTGTCTCAGCCTCCTGAGTAGCTGGAATTAGAGAAGCCTACTGCCACACCTGGCTAATTTTTGTATTTTTTTAAAAAATAATATTCTTTAATAATGTGGATAGGGCAAAAATCATAGGAGTCATTCACAAATCCTGAAGACAGAATGACTCTGCTCTAATGATAAGAATCTTGGTAAGTTGAAGGGGTGAATGATAGAGTGTATTTTTAAAGGCAGGATATTGAAGCTTAGTGCTCCCCAAATATTTTATGGTATCAGTAAGTATTTCTGTCTGACATCTTAAATGACTCAAGGAAAGAGTATTTGCTTTTTTGGGTTACACAAAGGGCATTGAACAAGTTATGCCCACTGAATTCTCATACTAACCTCTGATATCTGTATTTCTACCTTAGTTTTGCAGAAAGGAAAACTGAGGCCTCACTTAACTTGCTAAATCACACAGCTAAGTGTTCAAGTCAGAGTCTGAACCCAGCTTCATTGGATTTCAAAGTCTGTGCACCTTCAGTTCTCTTATTTGGCTTCCATCTAAGGCCCAGCCCTACAGCCTTAGTCACTACCACTAGAAATTCAAGTTAATCTCCCCTGCAGAGAAGAAAGAACTGAAATGATTTCTGTAATGTCCAGGGCCACAGCAGGTCACCCAACTCTCTCATACGCGTGGCTCACCTTGAGGTTCAAGAATCTAGTTGAATTAATTTTTTTTTTTTTTATGAAAGAAAGAAAGAAAAAGAGAAAAGGGGGAGAGAGAACAGAAGTCTTGCTCTATTGCCCAGGCTGGAATGCAATCTACAAGTAGGTATTAAAAACCTCTTTTATGCCGATAATTGTGCTTAACAGCGGAGAAAGGAAGGAATAAGGAAAGAAAATAACAAACAGCCAACCAATATTTAATTTAAATCTGTGAAACGCTATGCAAATGCTGAAGAGTGATTTGCTTCCAGTTATTTTGTCACTTTCAAAATAGGTGTAATGTGATACTAAAAAAAATGTATGTTCTGTGGACCTGGGGTGAAGAATTCTATAAATATTCACTGAGTTTACTTGTTCCAGGTCTGAGTTCAAATCATAAATGTCCCTGTTAATTTTCTAACTCGTTGATCCATCAAATATTAACAATTTGGTGTCAAAGTCTCCCGCTATTTTTGTGTGATAGTCTAAGTCTCTTTATAAGTCATTGAAAACTTGTCTTATGTATCTGGGTGTTCTTATATTGGGTACATATATATTTATAATCAATCGTTGACTCCTATTGTTGCATTGATCCTTTTACCATTATGTAATGTCCTTCTTTGTTTCTTTTAGTCTTTGTTACTATTAAAGTCTATTTTGTCAGAGACGAAAGTTACAACTCCTGTTTTTTTTTTTTTTCTCTCCATTTGATTGGTGAGTCTTCCTCCAACCTTTTGTTTTGAGTCTTCGTGTGTCCTTGCTTATGAGATGGATCTGGATACAGAGTGCCGATGTGTTTTGACTTTTTATTCAGTTTTCGTGTCTGTGTCTTTGATTGGGGCATTTAATCCATTTAAATTTAGAATTAATATTGATATTTGTGACTTTAATATTATCATTTAATGCTAGCTGGGTGTTTTGTTCATTAGTTGATATAGATTCTTCGTTGTGGAGATACTCTTTGGTAAGTTTTTGGGATGACTGACACTGGTTTTTCCTTTCTGTGTATAGTGCTTCTTTCAGAAGCTCTTGTAAAGCAGGCCTGGTGGTGATGAAATCTCTGAGTGCTTGCTTATTTGTGAAAAATTTTATTTTTCCTTCATTTTTAAAGCTTAGTCTGGCTGGATATGAGATTCTGGCTTGAAAATTCTTTTCTTTGAGGATATTGAATATTGACCCCCACTCTCTTCTAGTTTGTAGGGTTTCTGCTGAGAGATCTGCTGTGAGTCTGATAGGCTTCCCTTACCTGACCTTTCTCTCTAGCTGCCCTTAGAATTTTCTCCTTTATTTCAACCCTGGTGAATCTAACAATTATGTGTCTTGGGGTTGCTCTACTTGAGGAATATCTTTGTGGTGTTCTCTGTATTACCTGGAGTTGAATATTGTCCTGCCTTACTAGGTTTTCCTGAAAGTTTTCCTGAATCATATTCTGAAGAATATTTTCCAGCTTGGATTCATTCTCTTCATGACATTCAGGTACATCTATCAAACGTAAATTAGGTCTTTTCACATAGTCCCCATATTTCTTGGAGCCTTTGCTCATTCCTTTTTACTTTTTCTTCTCTAATTTGTCTTCTCATTTCATTAAGTTGGTCTTTGACCTCTGATATCCTTTCTTCTGCTTGATCAATTCGAATGTTAAAACCTGTGCATACTTCGTAGAGTTCTTGTATTGTATTCTTCAGTTCCATTAATTCACTTATATTCCTCTCTAATTGTCTATTCTCGTTAGGATTTCGTCAAACCTTTTTTCAAGGTTCTTAGTTTCTTTACATTGGGCCAGAACATGTTCTTTTAACTCACAGAAGTTTCTTATTATCCACCTTCTGAAGCCTAATTCTGTTATTGGAACGCACTCATTCTTCATCAGGCCTTGTTGCCTTGTTGATGAGGAACTGTGATCCTCTGTAGAGGAAGAGGCATTTTGATTTTGAGTATTCTCAGCCTTTTTATGCTGGTTTCTTCCTGTAATTGTAAATTTATCCATCTGTTGTCTTTGTAATTATCGACTTATAAATAAATTAGGTCTCTGAGTGGACGTCCAACTTGTTCATTCCCAGTGTCGAAATCTGAGCAACCCACTGTGCCAGCTAAAACAGCAGCATCAAGATTCTTGGTGCTTTTCTGCCTGGGAGTCTCTGGTCTGGCTTCCCTCCTGAATCCCTTCTTCAATCAGCTGATTGGGTGACTCTGCCTTCGCGGAGCTCCAAATGTCGACCAGAAGGGGTCCCAGTCCCATTTACTCTGCACTGAGAACTGCCTAGCCGGGGTACTGGCAAAACCGCCATGCTGGCCACAAGAGTTGCGCTGGCGACCCATGGGGCTCCTCTGCTGGGAATCTCCTGGTCCATGAGCAACAAAAATTTGTCTGAAAGTGTGGCATCCTCTCGTTCTCTGCGTTTTCACTGGGAGCTACAAGCCTGAGCTGCTAGTGATAGGCCATCTTGGATCTCTCCTAATTTTTGTATTTTTAATAGAGACGGGGTTTCTATTAAACCATTCTCTGTTGTCCAGGCTGGTCTCGAACTCCTGACCTCTCTATATTGTCTATTCTCGTTAGCATTTTGTCAGATCTTTTTTCAAAGTTCTTAGTTTCTTTGCATTGGGTTAGAACAAGTTTTTTTTAACTCCCAGAAGTTTCTTATCATCCACCTTCCGAAGCCTACTTCTGTTCATGGAACACACTCGTTCTCCATCAGGCCTTGTTCCATTGCTGATGAGGAACTGTGATCCCCTGTAGAGGGAGAGGCATTCTGATTTTGGGTATTCTCAGCTTTTTTAGGCTGGTTTCTTCCCTTCGTTATAAATTTATCCATCTGTCGTCTTTGTAATTACTGACTTTCTAATTAGGTCTCTGAGTGGATGTCAAATTTGTTGATTCCCAGCGCCAGAATCTGAGCAGCCCACTGCGCCAGCTAAAACAGTGGCGTTAAGATTGATGGTGCTTTTCTGCCCGGGAATCTCCGGTCTGGCTTCCTTCTTGAGTCTGTCCTTCATTCAGCTGAATAGGCGACTCTGCCTTTGTGGAGCTCCAAACATCGGCCAAAAGGGGACGCAGTCCCGTTTACTCTGCACCAAGAACTACCGTGCCAGCCACAAGAGTTGCACTGGCGACCCATGGGGCTCCTCTGTTGGGAATCTCCTGGTCCGTGAGCAACAAAAATTTGTCTGAAAGTGGCGTCCTCTCGTTCTCCGCACTTTCACTGGGAGCTACAATCCCGAGCTGCTAGGGATCAACCATCTTGGATCTCTCTTCTTGACCTCTGTTGATCCTCCTGCCTCAGTCTCCCAAAGTGTTGGGATTACAGGCGTGAGCCACTGTGCCCAGCCTAATTTTATTGATATTTTAAAAGAAACATCTGTGACTTTGATTTTTCCTTTTTTTTTCTTTTTGAGACAAGGTCTGGCTCTGTCACTCAGACTGGAGTACAGTGGTGTGATCTCAGCTTGCTGCAACTTCTGCCTTCTGGGCTCAGCCTCCCACCTCAGCCTCCTGAGTAGGTGGGACTACTGCATGCACCACCATGGCCAGTTAATTTCTGTATTTTTGGTAGAGACGGCAGTGTTTCACTGTGTCTCCCAGGATGGTCTCCAACTCCTGGGCTCAGGCAATCTGTCTGCCTCAGCCTGGTATTACAGACATGAGCCACCACACCTAACTGGCTTTGATTTTTTATATTTTATTTTTCTGTTTCAATTTTGTTGTTTTCTGTTCTTTATGATATCATTCTTTTTGCTTGATTTTAGGTTTAATTTGCTTTTTTTTTCCCTTAGTGTTTTACCATGGGTTTTGTTTAAACGTGGGCTTCTAATGCTGATTTACTTCCTAGACAGGTATATCTGATTTCTGTTTGTCTATTTCTATATGTCGTATTTTTCCTAGTATAAGCTTTAGACTGGAAGCTCTTAAAAACATGACAGATCTCAAATTAGCAAATACAAAATCTTAATTACAATAAGAGATGCAGTCCTTTATAAATTTATTTATATTTTTTAAAAAGATGGGGTTTCACCATGTTGTTCAGGCAAGTCTTGAACTCCCAATCTCAGGTGATCCACCCGCCTTTGCCTCCAAAGTGCTTGGATTACAGGCGTGAGCCACTGTGCCTGGCCTCCTTTTTTAATTTGTTATGGGTATTTCTACCCATCAGAGATACTTGTTTTAACTCTAGAGAATATGGAAAAATATGAACATTATATAGTTTAGGGTATAATATGCCCTTGGTGACTGTAAACCTTAATATCATAGCTCTACTAAACTCTAGATTGGTTTTTCTTCAGTTGCTATGTCATTCTCAGCCTGTACACATTTGTTTTTAGTCTATGCATATTTGAGTTTGTAACTTTCCCTGCTGTTTTAAGGAAAAATAAGCTTCTAGAAGCCTTGTTGATGTGCTCATTTATTTAGTTATATCCTTAATGAAATATTTTGAAAGACCTTAAAATGCTTGTCCCTATAGTGCTGAGTTGGTCTTTAGACCTATAAGTTAACTCTTAAATAATTTATTTTTAGATTTATTTTTATTAAGGCATAATTTATATACAGTATAATATACAAAATCTTAAGGTACAGATCAGTGAATAAATTAAAACCACCGCTCATATTAAAAGTGAGAGAGAATTCCTAGTGCTTTGGGAATAGTAAAAGGTTGATTCTTATATTGCATTTTATACTCGTTAGGAACTCTTATTTATAGACACAATGTTAATCAGCAAACTATAAAACTAAAGAAAATCTGAAAGAAAGATACCTCTCACTCCAGCTCCCAAAGATTTATAAAAAGGTAGTAATGCCTCTGAGGAAAGATTAAAGGCTTGAGAGTTTTGTTTGTTTGATTTTGGCCAGAAGAATGGGTCAATTTTTACTATCAAGGATTTCAGATTCTAAAGAGTTAACGTGGATAATGCTTAACAGTGATTTAGAGGCACAAATGTGGTGAAGTAGGTTGGAATTAAATGAGAGATCTTATTAGAATATTGGAAAAGCCTTTCTGACATTTTCATGCTGAAGTCCACAAATGTGGTGAAGTAGGTTGGAATTAAATGAGAAATTTCATTTAAATATTGGAAAAGCCTTTCTGACATTTTCATGCTGAAGTCCTAAAATGTGAAAATTGTGTGAAGTCTATATGAATGGCTAAGCTCTAAGAAAATTAAAAAATATTTATATTGGTTTCAATTACCTAGAGAGAGGTTTGGACCCTTCCTTCTGGCTGAAGAAATATGATTCTCTGACCCATGTCTAATGGCAATAGAACATCCACTTGGTCATGTCTTGAGTTTGGTTTTATTCTCTTTGTCTAGAAGATTAAGATTGCGGCGCTGCGCATGTATACTAGCTGTGTGGAGAAAACTGACTTCGAGGAATTCTTTCTAAGTAAGTTATTGTTTGATAGTACTGAAAAGGAGAACAAATCTACATTTCATTTTTATGGTTGTGTTTTAATAGGATCTTTCTTTTTTTCAGTACCTAAACAGTTTTTCCTGCACAAAGCATGTAATCCAAACGATTTTTCTCTTTAAAAAAATTTTTGTATTATATTTCTTTAGAGACAGAATCTTGCTGTGTTGCCCAGGTTGGCCTCAAACTCCTGGGCTCAAGCAATCCTCCCACCTCAGCCTCCTGAATAGTAGCTGGGACTACAGACACATAGCACTGTGCCCAGCTGTTTTTCTTTTTTAATAAACAAAAAGCAAAAGGATTCTATAAAACATTTTGGTTAGTTTGAAAAAAAAAAAGGTACTTTGACATTATCTCCCTTGTCCACACATGCATCTTTTTACATAAGAGTATTCATAGTAAACATATTCTGTTTTACAGTCTGGATTTATTTTTTCTACTTTTGAGACAGAGTCTTGCTGTATTGCCCAGGCTGGAGTACAGTGGTGCTGTCTTGGCTCACTGTAACCTCCACCTCTCTACCTCCCAGGTTCCAGCGATTCTACTGCTTCAGCCTCCCTAATAGCTGGGATTAAAGGCATGTGCCACCACCACACTCAGCGAATTTTTGTATTTTTAGTTGAGATGGAGTTTTACCATGTTGGCTAGGGTGGTCTCAGACTCCTGACCTCACGTGATCTGATCTCTTTAGCCTCCCAAAGTGCTGGGATTATAGGCGGGAGCCACAGTGCCTGGCCCATTGATAAATTGCTTTCCAAAAGGGTTTTTGCTGGTTTAGACTGTCAGAAGCAGTTGATTGTTATCAACAGTATTAATTTTGATGCTGTAAACAGTTGTATTATTAACAAAGTTAATTTCTTTTTTTTTGAGACAGAGTTTTGCTCTTGTTACCCAGGCTGGAGTAGAATGGCGCGATCTCAGCTCACTGTAACCTCCGCCTCCTGGGTTCAGGCAATTCTCCGGCCTCAGCCTCCTGAGTAGCTGGGATTACAGGCATGCGCCACCATGCCCAGCTAATTTTTTTATATTTTTAGTAGAGATGGGGTCTCACCATGTTGATCAGGATGGTCTCGATCTCTTGACCTCGTGATCCACCCGCCTCGGCCTCCCAAAGTGCTGGGATTACAGGCTTGAGCCACCGGACCCGGCCATTCTCTTGTTTTTTGAGACTTGCTTTGAGTCTTGCTGTGTTGCTCAGATAGGAGTGCAGTGGCGCCATCTTGGTTCACTGCTACCTCCACCTCCCAGGTTCTAGTGATTCTTGTGCCTCAGCCTCCCGAGTAGCTGGAACTACAGGTGCATGCCACCATGCCCAGCTGATTTTTGTATTTCTTTAGTAGAGACAGGGTTTGGCTATGTTGGCCAGGCTGGTCTCAAACTCTTGGCCTCACGCGATCCACTGGCCTTGGCCTCCCAAAGTCATGGATTAGGGAGTGAGCCATGGTGCCTGGCCTATTTTGGTTTTTAAAAATCAAATAAATACAAGTCATTTTGTTTATTTTACTGTCTCAGCAGATTGATACCAGAAACTAAAATACCAGACTGAATTATAATTCCAATTTAGTGTCCACCTTTGATTTCTTCTTTATTCATAGCCTGGAAAGAATCTTGCTTCTTTGTTAGTCTTTTAACAGTTTCTCATTTTAGGGCAAATTAGTCCAAATGGAAAAAATATTTTTTCTCTACCTGATAAAGCTGTTAATATTAGAAACTGATTTTTCCTTTTTCTTTTTTTTAGAGACCATCTCGCTCTGTTGCTTAGGCTGGAGTGAGTGACTCCAGCCCTTTTTCTGCATCCTTTTACTCCTGGGCCCAAGCAATCCTCCCACCTCAGCCTCCTGAGTAGCTGTGACTACAAGGACATGCCGTCATTGCCTGGGTGTTTTTTTGATTTTTATTTTTTGTAGAGGCAGGGTCTCACTATATTGCCTAGGCTGACCTTGAACTTCTGGTCCTGCCTCAGCTTCCCAAAGTGCAGGGATTACAGGCATGAACCATCATGCCTGGCCTGTTTTTTTTTTCTTTAAGTGCCTTATTGAATTCATGTGTGAAGTATTTTTCATCATATCTTTTTAAAACCTCATCCTCAGGTCAGGGCCAGTGGCTCATGCCTGTAATCCCAGCACTTTGGGAGGCTAAGGTGGGTAGATTACTTGAAGTCAGGAGTTTGAGACCAGCCTGGCCAATGTGGTGAAATCCCCTCTCTACTAAAAAAAGAAAAAAATTAGCTGGGTGTAGTGGCGGGTACCTGTAATCCCAGCTACTTGGGAAGCCAAGACAGGAAAATCACTTGAACCCAGGAGGCAGAGGTTGCAGTGAACCAAGACTGCACCACTGTACTTGAGCCTGGGTGAGAGCAAGATTCTGTCTCAAAAATAAAAACAAAAACGAAAACCCTCATCTTCAGATGTCTATTTAATATTTGATTCAATAAATAACTTAGAAGTTTCTTATAATTATTTTGAAAGGATGTTTACTAGATATCTTTGTCTTAGCCAGCTGTTCATTATTGAAAGTTCTTGAGTTAATATTGATGTTATAGTATTGAATAATAAGAGTTTTTATTTATTTAACATATCATGTTTCAATTCATAGCCTGTTGTAAACTACTTATAAAACTTAAGAAAAGTTTATAAAAACCGTAAGTGTTTTATACTATTAGCTCAGATCGTATGCTTTTACATTTGTCTCACTTAGGAGTTACAAAATTTTGTGGGCTAGAAAGGGCTTGTATTATTGTTTTTATTTTGTTTTCAGAAACAGTTGAGGCTTAAAGAGGCTAAGTGACTCACTCAGGGTTGCTTAGCCAAGCCTTGAACCTGTGTTGTCTGGTTTAAAATCCAGGGATTTTTCCACTATAACATATTGCCTGTTAAGGAGTATAATTACAAATTAGAAAATGTAGCCATTTTAATATTTTTTAGTATTTTGTTATACTTAAATGCAAACTACCTGTGTGAGATGTTCTATTAGTACTGGAAGCTGATGTTTTTACTAACTGTCGTGGTGTGTACCTGTTGGTGAGCCTTGTCCTGGCTTAGTCTTTGAAGTAGGTACCTAGGGAGGAAGTAAATTTTTCAGGATTACCACTCTTACTTGAGGTTTTCTGAGACTTGATTTGAGAATTTTCTTTTGAGACCTATAGCATGTTCATTTGTATTGTGTTCTATTGTGGCCCATCTTTGTCATTTGTGGGTAGATTATGTTTTCAAATCAAACCAAAGTAGTTCCAAACTGTGGCTAGTGAGTAAAAAGGGAGCAAATCTGGAGTATACCATCTGGAGGCAGGAAATTACAAATATCTTTAAAATAACTACACTGACTTTCCTGTGGCTTGGATTCTAAAGAGTAGGCCAGACAGGTTTGAAATCAGAGAAAGGGACTGGGTGCAGTGGCTCACACCTGTAATCCCAGCAATTTGGGAGGCCAAGGCAGGAGGATCTCTTGAGCCAAGGAGTTCAAGACCAGCCTGGGCAAAAAAAAACAAAAAACAAAAAAACAAAACCAAAACGAAACAAAACAAAAAGCTGAAATGAAACCAGAGAGAGCAGTATATATATTGCTTCCCAAGATTGTACTTTTTAAAGTGGTCATTGCTTACTTGGACTTGTGGTATTTATTTTAGGGCTTAACTTTTGGAGTCCTGAGAATTCAGCTGCCTGCTGTTGTTTCTTAGATATTTTGAGTATGTCATTTGTCTGAGCATGTTGCACTGCTGAGTACGCAGCGGTTTGCTGACTGGTCTTTTAAAGGCGTTTTAATATGAAGAGCACTTTGGAGCAGAAGTGGTCAATCAGTAGAGCTCCTATTTAATTCCACAGTGTTGTTTGCAGACTGCTTTGTCTTTAACCCTTAAGAGATTGGAGGCCTCGGAGAAGAGTCTCCTTAATGAATACATTGAGTCTGTGGTTGAGGTTTATCACTTTACTGTTACAATCTGAAATAATTAGTGAGGTTATTCAAAGATAATTTCAGTTGTGCTACTTAAATAATTCACTGAAAACCAACAATAATGAATATTTATTGAGTATCTACTAACTTAATACTAACCATTTTGCTAAACATTTTACAGGCCTTATCTCATTCTCACAAAAATCTGACAAGGTCGGTTATCTTGTTTTTCTCATTTCTACCGAGAAGAAAATTGAGTAATTTTACCCAGTGTCACATTGTGAGTTAGAGCTAGAGTTGAGGTATGGAATCAGGCAGTCTGACCCCACGTTAAATGTACAGCTGTGTCATGCTGCCTCCCCCTAACAGTAATGAACTGTTTAATTATATCCAACATTATGTAAAGAAAGAAAGTGCCTAGCTTCACAAACTAAAGCACTGAATGTGCACTGGAGCAAGAGTGTGATCATGGCAAAATACTACAGCAGGTTTTACCTTTGAAGTGTTTAAACGCATTTCATTGAACTAAAGACTGCTGTATTTTCACAGTCAACATTCGTTGGTGTTACTTTTTAGGGTTTTACCCTGTGGGTTTCTGTTCTGACACCAGTGGGTATAGGGACTCAATCATATGCCAGCACTTTTCCCACCCTCAGCCCTGAGGTGACCCCAGAAGGGGAAATTGTGACCCAAGTCCAGCTGCTGGCCTGTCTGTCTGTCTGTGCTTTCCAGCCCAAGAACTGATTCCTTCTCTTAGAAAATTGGAAAGGCTCCTGGAGGCTGCTGAGAAGCTTTGATGTAGAGGTAGCAATTGAACAGATTGTCCTTTAGACGCAGCCAAATTTCATTTTCCAGATTGAAAGACAGACTTCCAAGAAAACTTTTCTTTTTAATGTTTTGTTCTAGCATCCAAGAAAGACCCAACTTCAGATCCGGGCTTCAGAGTTTCTCAGGGCTATTCTTGTCTAGGTGGAGGGTGGTTGGCCCATTCTCAGATGGCATGTGTCTTAATAGCTCTATGGCTGGCCAGGCCAGCCTTCAGCTCCCTCCTGCTGGGCCCTGAGAGGAAGTCCACTTGACAGCTGCTAGGCACCTCCCAGTAAGCTCACCAGAGTATTTTGGTGTCATTTGTGACAGACTTGGATTCAAACCCCAGCCCTGCCACTAGCTTGTTAATATTGTGGGCTGCCCACAAGTTTCTTAGTTTGAGTCTGTTTCCTCATCTCTAAAATGAGGATTGCAATGCTTCCCTCCAGTGTTAAAGTGAGGATTGAGTGAGATAATGTGTTGACTTGGCTTGCAGTAGACCTGGTATGCAGATGGACCCTTAGCGTTAGTTTCTGATAGTAGTGTTAGAGAGGCTGTTAGAGCAGGATTAAGAACACAGTGTTTGAAATCAAGTAGATCTGAATTTGATCTCAGGTGTCTCTTTTCATTGTTGTATGACCTTGAGCAGCAGTTGTCTTGGTCTCTCTGAGTCAGTTTTCTTACCTGTTAAGTGGGGATAATATCATGCCCACCTCAGGGTTGTTGGGAGGATTCATTGAGCTTATGGATGTAAAGAACCCAGTAGAACGTCTGGCATATGGTAAGTCTGCAGTGAATTACAGCTCTTTATTATTGATGCCTTTAATGTACCTCACGGGGGTCCAGGCCTGTGTTTTATCTCCTAGTGACCCCTCTTTGTTATCATTTAGTACACATGTACCTCGATGTTTGCTGAAAGGCAGAAGATAGCGCTTCTTTGTTGAGTCATTGCCCCAAAGGACAGATTCTACCATAAGGGCCCAAATTCCCTGCTTATTCTCTTTTTGCATCTTCCTCTTGCTCTGGCTTTTCTCCCTGTTGTGTAATAAGGAGGGCACATTCAGTGGAGGACCCCTTGTTCAGCCAGAGGGATTTCTTAGCTGTGTGAGGATTGAGAGGCTTTGATGTCTGAGCACAGAACTAATTTGTTGGATCTGAAACTAGTGAGACGTCCTTCCCAGTTTTGTCATTTCTGGGGGTGAACAGCCTTTCACTAGATACAGTATGCTTTCTTATTTAGCTGCAGCTCCCTAGACCCCTGCTTTCTTTTGCCTGATCCTTTCTTTTTCTTTTTTCTCTTTTTTTGAGATAGGGTCTTGCTCTGTCACTCAGGCTGCAGTACAGTGACATGATCTTGGCTCACTGCAACCTCTGCCTCCCTGGCTCAAGCAGTCATCCCACCTCAGCCTCCCAAGTAGCTGGGACTACAGGTGCATGCCACCATGCCCAGCTAATTTTTATATATTTTTTTTGTAGAGACTGGGTCTCACTGTGTTTCCCAGGCTAGTCTCAAACTCCTGGGCTCAAGCAGTCTACCGCCTCAGTCTTCCTAAGTGCTGGGATTACAGGTGTGAGCCACTGCACCCAGCTCCTGGTCATTTGTTTTGGGCAAATCATTTAGCACACCCACATCGATAGCACATTGGGTACCTTACAGAAAGAAGACAGGAAACGGATACTAGAAAAACTTAAGCTTCTGAAAGTGAAAAAAGTGAGGGAGTGTTTGCCTAGCTTTTCAGAATTCAAGCCCATGGAGGGAAAATACTGTAGAATCACACCGAAGCTGGAAGGAACCGTAGAGATCATCTAGGCCACATGCTGCAAAATGAGAAAACCAAGACTCAAAGGTTTTGGTCTTGGTTTTCTCTTGGTTTTTCACTTTCTAGAAGTGATTTGTCCAAGGCCATATAACAAGCTGGAACTAGAAGGCTGGTGGTCTGACTGAATTCAATGGGTTTTTTTTTACTCCTGGTACACTGTGATTCAATGTTCGTTTAGCCCATAGTCTTGCCCTATTGGTCTACTGGCCTTTTCTGCAATAGCATAATCAGAGGGCACTGTAAGTGCCATGCCTGCCAGTATTTAAAATATAGTCAATGTGCCTCCTTTAAACCCTCACATACTTATACCTTATTGTTATTTTCTAGGGTGTCAGATGCCCGATACATTCAATTCATGGTTTCTTATAACCCTACTCCATGTCTGGTAAGTGAGCAATTTAAATGAAGTCCCCAAATGTATTTTTTTTTAAACACTGCTGACTTGTAAGGTATAGCCTTCAGCAGGGCTGATTATATGAAATGGCAGTTGTTCAGGTGTTAAAAACTGTTCCTTTCATTTTAATAACTGGTGTCTTGAAGCACATTTTTATTAAAGGTCAAAGCATAGGCCCAGAAGGAAACTAATATTTGTAGGATTTTTTTCAAAGAACACCTAAGCCAGTGAACAATGCTATCAGTATCTCTTAAGAGACTCCATGAGCTTGGATGGAAAGTTTTCTCTCCCTTGGCTGTTTTAGGAAAGTTCACATTTACGTAAAAGTGGTTTGAATTGTGAGAATCCGTGGTCATTTTCATTGCTGGTCATCAGAAACCTATAACAAATTATAGCACTGACATTTACGCCTGTACCTCTAAAATGTGCATACAAGTTAGCTTCATGCCAGGTTTGTTGCATGTAAAAATATTTAACACCTTAAACAGTATATTTTTTCTTCAGCTGTGAAATAAGTAGCCAAAAAAAATCAATTTTTCATCTAATGTTACACAGTATTAAAGGTCAGAAGGATATAGGAGAGTCGTTGAAGTGGGGGCTGGGGAATGTATTTATTGAACTGCCAGATCTTGGGAAAGTAAATTCTGGAGAACTAAGTTTACTACTTTGACCATAGTGAGTATCTGAGGAACATGGGAATGGCTGCCCTGTCAAAAGGACCCTTGTTTGAGACTGCCTTCAGCTGAGCCTTTGCATCACACAACTGACTACTATATACTTTTTGGTTTTGATCACCTCTGAAATGTTTCTTCCTCTGTACTTATACAGTTATACTGAGTTTGGCTTAGGGGCCTAAGGTGGCAGTTTATTTTATGCTTTTTTTTTTATCATTTTTTTTTTTTAGATGTAGTCTCACTCTGTTGCCTAGGCTGGAGTGCAGTGGTAAAACTACAGCTTTCTACAACCTCCGCTTCCCGGGTTCAAGTGATTCTCGCGCCTCAGCTCCCTGAGTAGCTGGGTTTCCAGGTGCCCACCACCATGCCTGGATTATTTTTGTGTGTTTTTAGTAGAGATGGATTTTTCACCATGTTGGCCAGGCTGGTCTCAATCTCCTGACCTCAAGTGATCCGCCTGCTTCAGCCTCCCAAAGTGCTGGGATTACAGGCGTGAGCCACCGCGCCCAGCCTATGCTATCTTTTTCTAAGCAGTAGTTTATTAAATGTCTTGGGTACTTTCAGGGAACTAGGGAATAGTTCTCAAGAAGCTCTCAGTCTAGTTAGGGAGATAAGATGTGTAAAATGGTCAATTATAGGCTGGATGCTGTGACTCACGCCTGTCCTGGGATCCCAGCACTTAGGGAGGCTGAGGCGGGCAGATTATGAGGTTGAGAGATTGAGACCATCCTGGCTAATACAGCGAAACTCCGTCTCTACTAAAAATACAAAAAATTAGCCAGGTGTGGTGGCACGCGCCTGTAGTCTCAGCTACTTGGGAGGCTGAGGCAGGAGAATTGATTGAGTCCAGGAGGTGTAAGTTGCAGGGAGCTGAGATTGCGCCACTGCACTCCAGCCTGGGTGACAGAGCAAGACTCTATCAAAAAAAAAAAAAAAAAGTCAAGCATAAATCAGAATGCCTAAGTTATGTAATAAATATGAGTAAGAAGTACTTATAGGATCACAAAGGAAGCTGCAACCATCAAAACCCTTACTACCTTTTACCTGTTAGTTCTTTGAAATGTGCTATGCATCAGGTCTGCCTTCTTATTGTCTTAATGCTGAAGGTTAGGGAATAGCATTCAGGGAGAGAAGTTGGATATACTGAGGGGAAAAAGTGCTTTTTCAGGAGAGGAGGACTGCAGAGGTGGCACTGTAGAATTACTCTCTGGAAAGGTGGGAGGGTTGCAAGAAGGCTAGGCTGTTCCCAGAGGAGCTCAAAGATAATATTCAGAACCTGTATGAAAGACTCTTTATTGCCCATATAGCCAGAGGTATCAGTGTTAGAGGGAGTGGATGGCAAAATAAAATATATAATCCCTGTGACCACATCCCAAGGTCAATACCCGACTAACAGCAGCCGGGAGAACCTTGAAACTACTTATAGTTCTTTAAAGTTTCCAAACTGTGCTTGCTGAATCTTCCTGGCTGAGGTTGGTTAAATTTCTGAGGAATAGGGCATACCACCCTCAGTTAAGTCAAGAGAGGGAAGCTGTCTGCTTCAAATCTACACTTTATTCCTCTTCCACTCTTTCTCTCCCCTAGTTTTGATGATCTGCAGGTTTTGATGGAAAGAACCTGTAGCTTTTCAGTTTGAATCAGTACACTCTTCTTGAGGCCCTCCTGTGTGTTCAGGACCATGGGATGTTGGAGAGAAGACTAAGGCATGTGTTCATATCTGGTCATTTCTTTTGGGCAAATCAGATACAGATTGTCTGGATCTTCACGAAACTAAAGTCTAGTGGAAAACAGACATAAAGCACGACTGCCTGTAAAGCATTACAGTGAAAGAAATGCTGTGCCCAAGACACAGGCAGATGCCGGGAAGCACAAAGTGGTGTAACTAAATTCAGATTTGATGATGGGGTGGAGTGGTGGATAAAGAGTGGCTTTGTGATAGAGGTGACATTTGAGATGCACCATGAAGGTTGACTAGAATTTCTGTCAGAGAAAGGGTGGGCATTTTAGATTGAGGGAATATTAGGAGCAAAAGACAGAATGTGTACAAGAACACCCAGCCAGTTGTGCGTGGGGCAGGTTTGTTGAGGAATGTAGTGGAAGGGTCACCAAGAGAGTAGTGAGTCTGGGGCTCAGTTGTGCTGTGATCTTCCAAGAATTGGAGAAATCTTTCTTCTAATGGATGAGGGTGGGGGTTGTTAGGAGGAATGATGGATCCAACCCCTGTCTGTGGGGAAGCCATGATCTATCGGCCCTGCTGTCTTATACTGAAGCTCCAGGAGGGTAGCCAGCCGAAGAATAGCCACATCAAGGTTGCAGGACTCAGTGGACTTGCTGGAGGTGTAGGGATTGAAGCACCTCTTGGAGGCGGTAGTGTGGGGTGGGGGAGGAGGCTTAGAAAGCAGTCAGAAAACCTTCCGCAAACAAAACCAAAACCAAACAAACTCCTAATAAACAAAAATACTCTGGTGGCTGACATTTCAGAAGGTTTGCTTAGGTTCCAAGGGTGAGGGTTCCCTGTTGGCTCTTAGAATAAGGACAAGATTTCTCACATCCTGTTAGTTCCCCAGAGGAAATAGTGTTTCACTTATCCGGTCTGCTTTTTTTAGTTTCACAGTTTTTCTGTGGTTTGGGATTTAGGACCGGGACGCCCTCCAGCTCCTAGAGGACCCTTATCAGTTGTGTATTCACTTGAGCTTGCAGCTGCAGTGACTATGTGTTCATTGTCTTTGCTGAACAAGATTAGTATTGACGGTGGCTGCTGAAAAAATGCTGAGAGACCGCTGTCTGCGCTGTCCAGCATGCTCACTTGGACGTGATAAAAGCAGGCCTCCTCCCCTATTCCCTATCTTGCCCAGTGGCATCATGCCCACACCAGCAATGTGGGAGGCCTCCTTGTCTCTTCCCTCACTGCTTCACCTTCTCAGTCACCTAACTCAAACTATTTTTGACTCCGACCCATTGTAACAAATTCATGTTACTTTGTGACCAGAATGGACACATGAATCTGATACAAAAATTCTATAAAATTTATCCTTACAATGTCAGGTAATCTCTGATATTTTCTTTTTCTTTTCTTTTTTTTTTTTTATTTTAAAGTTTTAAGGATTAGGGAGTTTAATAGGCAAGAAAGAAGGGGAAAGGAAGAAAGAAGAAGCTCCTTTGTACAGAGACAGAGGGAGGGGTGCTCCAAGGCTGAGAGAGGGAACCCCCTATATTTTCTATTCCATTTGAATTCATTTTAAACAGACAATGAAGTTGTCACTCACTAAACTGATTTCACTGAGTTGCAACCAGCAGTACTTGAAAAGTGGTCTTTGGCCTATAGCTTCCCTATACCCCCATTCCATTGGCCTTCTCAGTACAAATGGGGTCAGTACACACAGACACATATACATACGTACGCACATGCACTCACTCCTTAATGTTCTCCATTGTTCTCAGAATAAAATACAAGTTTTGGCCAGACATGGTGGCTCATGCTTGTAATCCCAGCACTTTGGGAGGCCGAGGTGGGCAGATCACCGGAGGTTAAGAGTTCAAGACCAGCCTGGCCAACTTGGTGAAATCCCATCTCTACTAAAAATACAAAAAAATTAGCCAGGCATGGTGGTGGGTGCCTGTAGTCTCAGCAACTCAGGAGGCTAAAGCACAAGAGTCACTCGAACCCAGAAGGTGGAAGTTGCAGTGAGCTGAGATCGTGCCACTGCACTCCAGCCTGGGCGACAAGAGTGAGACTCCATTTCAAAAAAAAAAGAAGAAGAATACAAGTTTCATATCATGGCATTCATATCTGATCAAATGTGACTTATGGTGCCTTTACTAGTCTCCTTTGTTGCTATTCTAGGCACCATTACTGTCACTACTCCCTTTTCTGCAAGAAAAAGCCAAACTGTGTAGTAGAAATATCAAGTCTTCTGTACGGAGTTTCTTCTGCCTAGAAGGCCCTTCCCCCTCCTCTCCAGCTGACAAGTTCCTGTTTTTCCTTCAGTATTGATTCAGGTATTATTATTATAATCTCCTTCCCTTTCTTCTGGGCAGGGAGATTTATGTCATTAGAATTTGTGTTGGCATTGTAAGTGTTAACAGATTTGTAGGGACTCCCCTTTTCAAATTGTCATGGAGCACTTGTACCTTCTCAATGCAGAAATTACTTTTATAAAGTGGAATGGAACAAATAAAATTAGAACATACCTGTGATGGAGGTAGGATGGGAGTAAAATGTAGTCTGTTTTTAAAAATTATTTTAAAGTCGGGTATTTCATAAATATAATTACTACTTGATGTTTTATATATTCTCATTTTACATATGAGGTATCA